AATTTTGAAATTTGAAGGACAATTGTCACGCCGGCACGCCATATAACAGTAATTTATGGAAAGCCAAAATGTGCGATTTAGAATAATTCCTTAGCAAAAAATACCGCTAAAATAAATTTTTGAAAAATGGGCGTGGCACCGCTCACTACTGACCCCATACGGTCCATTATTTGGCTGGCTACGTTACCGAAAAACTGGTTTTTCTAGGTGATGTGTTAAGACATGGTAAAATGTACATTTCTGTAAAAAAAAATTTAATAATTACTTTGGTTTTAAAATTATAGGCGTTCGAATGTGTATTGGCCCGTTACACTAATGTCAGTAAATTAAAGCAGCAGACCTATTTAAAATAACATTTTTAGAGCTGATGCATGTAGGTTAGAGTGGTCCAAGTTTTGTGTGGAAAAAAATGTATCCTAGAAAACAGGGAACCCCCTTAGTTTTCTTCTTTTTGATACTTGTAATATCTAGACCAACTTTCAGTTTTCTACTGCAACCAATACAGGGTGCTCAATGACCTTGAAATGTGCTATTGGATCGCTGTGAAACTTGCAAAAGTATTGGTAATTTTTATAAAAAGCTACTGTTACCATGACAACTAAAGCTTGTGATATTTTGATAGATAATTTAAATTTGAAATTGTTTGATTAATATATCGAGCCCTAACCGCCAAAATAACGTAAGCGATATTTTTTTTCAAAATTTTCTTTTTGATGCAGAAATATTCCTGGAGCATCTAGATACATTTCTGCATCAAAAAGAAAATTTTGAAAAAAATGTCGCTTACGTTATTTTGGCGGTTAGGGCTCGATATGTATACAATACTTCTAGAGTAAAATGTGAGCACCATGAGAATCCTGTATATGGATTCTTAGAAGCGTAAGGTTTGGTACCAGCACCCCTTTCGACAAGAAGAAAAGCCTTTCTCGGATAAAATTTATTTGGACCACTCTAATTTAGTAGGTGTCACTACTAGGTCCGGCACAAAAAAAAATACTTACATATACACAGAGGTTTACAGCGAAATTTTGTGAGGTAACTGTAGACTCATAAATATGATACACTTGCGTGCATTTGCATATTGTAAAAAATGTTCGCGCATTTATGTAAACTAAATTGTATGTATGTAGGAGTATACATACATACTGAATCATACATAAAGGCGTTGTGGTTTGTGGAAAGTTTTTCTAAAAATAGAAAACATATTTAAGTCTATTTGTGTTTTAATATTTTATTTTATAATTTGCATTTTATTCCTAGATTATGCCGGCCGAGGAAAGAAAAAGTTTGGTGACAAATGCGATGGTACATTGGAGTGTGGATTCCCTGGTTCAATTTGCGATGCAAAAAAGAAGTCCTGTCAATGCACCGAAGATTTGCCAGTAACAAATCATATCGATAAATGTGGAAAAGGTTTGTTCTGTTATCGTATTTGCGTGCCATTTTTACGTATTATTATTAATTGCAATTTAAGTTTTTTTTTTTAGCGAAAGGAATATTTCATTCAATCATTGGAAAACCATAAATATGCAGTAAAGAAAACCACTTGTTTATTGAAAATTAGTCCTGGGGCTAGGTTGACCAAATTGCTCTACAAGTTGTTTCTGTGTAAGAAATTGTACCGGTTTGGAAATATTCACATATCGAAACTTTGGTGAAAGGTACTGGTTCCACTTAATTGCCGCTTCCACGCAAAGAATGAGCGAATTTAACACAGAGTTACCATTGATGATGACAACTTCTTTCCTCTACATTACCCATCTGTTAGATAGGGATAACGAGTTTTGTATCTAAATAGTTCCACTTTGCTGCCCAATACTGCCTACTAAAATTTATTTTCATTCAAATCGGCTAAGCTAATATCGATGGTCCTCGACGACACAATTCAAAATTCAAAAACATAAAACCCTAGTAGTTATGTGGCTTTTGTTTCTAATCATTGTCTAATCCATGTCTTATCCTTACTAAAGTTAGTAGCAAGGACTAAGTTGCTTATTAAGAGATGTGCCAAGTTCGGTGTGATCAGTGAGGAAGATACATATATCCCTGCTAAACATATTAAACGACTTTTAGTATCTCATAAATATCTTTTCCAAAATGAATATATCCCATTTCAGAGGCTGCTGTGAATGAGTCCTGTTTCTTCAACGAACAATGCGAGGTGAGACATTACCAGACCGAATGCCGCGATGGACGCTGTGCTTGCCGTTACGAAATGCAGCCTTTCTGGGGCAAAGATGGTACAGTCGAATGCAAAGGTATCTAACTTATATTCATATTCAATATTGCTTTTGTACTTATTTGCACATGAAAAGTTATTGAAATTAAAATAAACAAAAAATACAGGTCGTGGCGACAAACGTGGACCGGAGACTTACATTGATCCAGCAATGATTGGCGTACTGGTAGGAATGGCATTGATGTTTGTTATAATTTGTGTCGTCCTTCGATTATTTAGCCAGTGAGTAAAATTTTCTACTTTTTTATCAAAGCCCAAAAGATTTTGTATTAACGTCCACTTTATATATATAAAAAAAAAAAGAATTTTTGACGTTGTTATCATATAATTTTATTTGTTTGCTTATTGCAATGATAATCACCAGCACCGAGAGCGATAATGTCATTTACCGGTTGTGAAAAATATGTGTGAGTACATGTACGGTGTTAGATATTCATCTTCGTACAAAAGGTATAGAAAGTGAAGCCAAGCATAGAATACATGCTTAGTGTTAAAAAGTAAATCCGCAATTTTTATGAAGAGAGCTAGGATTGTTCTATATCGGAAAAAAAACACTCCTGTTTTTCAGATCAAAAAACATTATAAGGTCGCTCAAAGGGTTCAAAGTATCTCATGTATTTTAAATGAAACAAAAAAGTCCCGTCTGAGGTACGACCTTTCCTTTAAAAGGAATTAAAGAAGTGGGTTGACATGGTCGAAAGTTATGCGGTAGCATACATATACAAAATGTTCCGACGAATTGATAGCCCCCTCATTTCTTTGAAGTCGGTTAAAAAAACGCATTTTAACCAAACTTCTCGTCAAAACTGATCGCTTTTCAATACCCTTCTCCGCTGAATAAAACTAAGTTAAATCCCGGTTATTAAAAAATTGAAGTGGGCTGTATATATTTCGCCCAAAATTCAAACGTATAGTAAAAGTTTCTTATTCTCTTAAAATTTCAAAAAATTGTCAGTTTAAGATGAATTATTAAGCTTTCGATGTGACCGTAAAGTAAGTATTATCCCATTTTTTTTTTAACAAAGCAAAATTCACCTCAGCTAGTTAATTTGAAGTCTGTCTCAAGTGCGGCTTAGTTAGTTAGTTATTATCGAAAATTTTAGACTAAAAAACAGCAAGCGTACATACCAAGCAGGCCTCTTATGTTATACATTTATAACGTCACCTGAAATGCAAAATAACGTAACAACATCGCCACTGAACTGAAAGGAGACGTGACTAATTTTTTCATAAAACAATGTCGGGAGTTGCAATTTGATGAAATCCATAATGGCAATCAAAAAGTGAATTCTGAATTTTTTATAAGTTACGACTTTTTACATTTCAGGTGACTATGATGTTACGTTATTTTGACGATATGTATGTATGTAGGTTACACTTAATGTTAGTAAAAGCATCTCTCTCGGGCGGCATGTTGGATCGATATGCTTTTTGTGGAGTCTTTGAATGTTAACCTTGTACGTTTCACAATATCTACTAACATAAAACATTTACATGCATAATTTATACATTTTAACTATGGTTTTTTAATAAGATAGCTAAATTGTAGGGGGCGCAGAAATAAAGGTTCCGGAAAATTTAGGTGGACTTTCTTAAGTGAAGCCATTTCAAAAGGCTTACACAAGAAGGGCGGCTGAAAAAAGTGGTTCCCTGTGATTGTTTAAATTTCTGTTATTTGTAATACATAAATTTCAGTATGCATTTTGAGTCACAAAAAGGCCGTCTTAAGTATGTACGTTCTACAAAAGTCCTTCTGGAAGACCTACAATTACGCAGTTCAACAAATTTTGATAAGCTGGTCAAACAATGAAAAAATATCCCAAGATTAAAAAAAAAGTTGTTAAAATTTTTTTGTATGTCTATTAGAGGTTGGAGATCTAATTTCTTTTGAATGTTAAATCGATAAAACGATCTACTTGAGTCACATAAATTACAAAAATTGTATAATAAAAATATTTTAATTAATTTTCTAATTATAATGATTGTTATTTCTATGAAAAACATTAAAAAAATCAGAACTGATCGTGTAAACCACCGCCGGACAGAGGCAAAAACTGGAATCACTTCTTAAAAAATAGTTCGGAGCTTTCAAATTTCAACTGTTTAGTGCAAAATGCAGGGCAAATAGCAATTTTGAAGAAAATCGATTATCCTGTTCCTGTTAATAAATGTTACATAATAAAAACTTGTTAAAAACAAATATAGATTGTCCTCAAAATGAAAAAGATCTCACATTGGAAATGCTAAACAAATTTCACCAAATTAAAAGTTCGCTGTTGTGCCTTAGGCATGCAATTTAATAGCGTTTAAATTAAATTTTAATTTTTTTAAGTGAAACTTTTAAATGGCAAAGAATTTGCGTTGATTTTAATTTTTTTTTGCTGAAATTTCGAGTGCGCCTTATGCATATCGAGCCCTAACCGCTGAGAAACTTAAGCGACATAGTTAAAAACAAAAAAATCACTTACGGGTGGTCAAAAAGTCTCTTTTAAATTTTATTAGCATTCATATAAAAAAAAAGTTATAAATGCGGTCGAAAAATTAAAACAAAGACCACAAAAATATAGGAATATGTGTTTGTTTATGTTTAGACTTTAGATTTGCAACTTCAAACTAATATAAAAAAATTTTAACCAATTTTTACAAATCCTATAATTTTACCCCTTAAATAAATGCAATTGGTATCATTGCCATAACTTTTTTGAGTGTGGCACCGTCTTACAAAATTATCAACTGAAGCATTTTTGGCTATTTTTCGACTTAATATTAAATAATTTTCAACAATTTTATTGAGCCCGAAGCCGTTCTTAATGAAAAATTATTGTGGAAAACAAAAATAGTTTACAAATGGCAGAAGTTCTATTCGAGTTCATTATTATCTTTTAAAACAATTCGTTGCAAATTATTTTATATATTTTTTAAGATTTTTTTCGGCACAGTTAACAATGGGGGAAAAGAGTGTTAAGCTCTATAAAAAGTATTAACTGAAGGATTCTGCTTTATTTCCCGTGCCTTCTAAAATTAGCTCCATCTGCGCCTTCTACAATAATAGGGCCGTCAGAATGGGTACTTGTACGTCAATAACGGAAGAGTGTTTACACAAGTCAATTTTGCAGATACAATAGCAAAACATTCACACTTTTCTTTATTACTAATATATTCACACTTCTCATGATGTCTTCGTCACTGTCTTTGGCTTTTCGAAGGCAGTTTATTGTCTGGATGCCTACTTTACTCAAAAAATTTGAATATTAATACATATTCTCAATTGTCTTTCCTGGTGTAAAGGCGAGTTTATACTACTGCCAGCAGTGACGGACTTACGTCCCTCAATAGTTGAGTGTTGGCCAACGTTCCTTGGGCCCATTGACGCAAGGGTTGCCAATCTGACGCTCCCTATGCAAACACACATAGTCTACTCAACTGTCAGTTTCATCCTTGAGCGGAACGTACGCAAAGTACCCATTCTGCCTGGGCCATAAAAAGCTTTTGCGTTGTTGCGCGACAATTCAGTGTAGTCAGTATTTGTTGAAAAAGTTTTGAAGTCTGTATTGTGCTAAATAGTATATAACTTATCATCAATCATTGTCATTTTTCTCTCTCTTTATTTTATCACAACGCTAAGGATGCTCAAGATTTACTTGTAATAAATTAAATGCAATTGCTTTAAACATTTATTTCTATTAAAAATGTTTAACCACTTTCATAATGCGTATTACTCGCTTGAATTTCGTTAATTAAGCTCGATTTTGTTTCTATTTCTTTTAATTCCCCTTTTTTCATATGCAAATATTTACGATTTGCATTTCTTATTATGCCGCTCCATTTGAACACCTCCCGTTTCGTTTCGTTGCCATCTGGTTACCAACCAACACTCGTTGTCAATTACACAAAATACGCCAATAATTAACATTTACTCAGGGCACGTTGGCGTGAAAACCGGACAATTTTCAACACACCAAATCCACGTCTCATGAATGTGTCGCTTTTGCGTGATAGCAAACTCTTGCACGGCCAGGAGCGACGCGGCTCGCGTATGTCGGTGCGAGCACCGTCGCGCCAGCCGAGCATGGCTTCGCTACGTCCGCATTCGCCGAATCCGTCGTTAGGTAAGACAGGTTTGTATCCAAAAAAAAAAAAAAACTAAGATCAAAAATAAACTAAAATCAAGCTCGATATGTTTGCCTTAAAAAAATATTTAATTAAACGTCTTTCCCTAATTCTTCTTTAATAAATGATAATTAAAATTTTTATAAAGTAATAACTAGCTATATGCCTGCATATACAAATCTACTTTTGTATATAATTTAAATGCAACTTCCTTCGGTTATGGTATTAAACATTTTTAGGGTATTCACAAAGTCTTGCAATGCAGGCGTACCTAATTTCTGATAATCTGACGGAGTCAGGAGAGCACTTTAAGTATGAAATTAGTGAACAAAGCTTTCACAATATACTCGTATAAAACAAATACGTATTGACTATTTTCTTTTCATACTTCAAAGTGCTCTTAGTTTTTTTGTATCTTACAACACTTTGTGGATGATATTTTTTATTTTTATTTTTATTTTTTCTAATCATCATTGCGTTAAGAACATTTTTAAGCTGACTACATTCAATATTAAAACCAGTTTCACGAATGTAATTTAAGTGAAATTTGAATTTAATATGAAAAAGTGACAGCGGCGAGAAATCAATTTTCATTTAAATTGCTTGTGAAACCGGTACTTAATGTTGGTTCGTGTGTATGTAGCCCATCATTACGTTTTTTTTTCATTTGATTCATTGCTAGTTTTGCCTTTTTTAAACTTTCTTTTCGCTAACGTTACAAGGACCTTAAGAAAGTTGTATGTTTATTAAAAAAAAATTTTTTTTTTGGCCCAACGTAGGGGTTGGCTTTTTATATTTTTTGTCCTATCTTCGGCATTTACAGTCCTACCTTAAGCTTTATTATATCGATGCGCTTGTCCAGAGGAGATCATTTTTTGCTCTGAAGTTCATTGATCTCAAGTACCGCGTTCTAGTACTTAACCACCAGATCTGAGTTCTTATCAATCTAACGTAGCACCGTAAAGCCATTAAACTGAAGCCCAACAATAATCATTAGCTTCGGCTAAAGAAGTATTTCGATTGTTTCAGTATAACTCGATAAAAAATGCTTATTGCCCAACGAAGCTGATACCGAAAAATGTAAGAAGACGACCCCTAGGTTCGGTAAATTTTTTTATTTTCGAAATTGCCTTGAACAATTCTTTGAACGCAAACGGCAAACTTTGTTTGTTTGATTGTAAGGTGGTGCGGTCTAATGTTCATACATAACTATTCGTATGCACTGGATTTTAGGGATTGGACTAGTGAGCTGTAATGCACAGACTTACGTTTTGCTATTACTTTTTTATACACATATATATACATTAGGGTGCATCACGCTCCATACAAAAAAAAATCGATACTTTTTTCCATGGAAATTATACAAATCATTATATTTTAAGGCTTCCGCCAAAAAATTTCGGAGTTCGAGCTTTTTAAAAGTACATCCAAATATCGTTTTTTTTTTTAAATAAAATAGTGGCTAAAAAAAATATTTTTCTAAATCAAACTAACTCATTAGATAGAAAAGCTTAATTTTAAAATGTCTGCATAGAAATGTTTCAACGTAATCAAAATAATTCGTTTTCTGGAGGTAAATACTTTTAAATCGATTCAGCTTAACATTTTTCGGAAATATCTCGGTGGAAGTCTTAAACTATAATAAAGACCGCCACCTTTTTTTAGGTGAGGCACACTAATATACATAGCTATATGTATTTATCAATATAACCACTCACCAAATCAATTGCAAAGCACATATTGAAACCCATTGGCTAATTCAATTAAAACAGATCACAAATCAAGTCGTATGACGCGTTCAAAAAGCAATACCCGTTCGAGTGATTCCCGCGTTAGCGACGTGTCAAACTGTTCTCGTCTGCTCGAGCATTCGAACACCAACGCACAACATGCACCTCACACATTTGCGCCGTACACGTCGACAACAACACACATCACGAATCTGCAATCATCACCACAGTCAATACCGCCACCAATATCCACCGCAACTGCCAACGCTAATACGAATTCGGATACCGAGTTGGAAGCGGCTATGTGCTTGACAACGCCGCCACCAGTTGCCATTAAAGCGAATAAGTTTTGAAAACATCGTCCCAAATCAAGTCTGCATCAGCGAGATAACTCTTCTCGGTATCCTATATAATTGATCTGATCTGAAAAGCGAGCAAGTGCATGGTGCGTGTTTACTTGAAAAAAAAACAAAAAATTACTTGACTTTGATTGTTTAATGAACCTTAATTGCGTTCTTTTCGTATTAACTAATATATGTAGTCTAAGAATCCACTTAGAGCTACTATGTTTCTTTCAATACACCAAACTACTCACAACCTGCTGCATATCTTTATATGGATATGCTTAAGCTCATAACAACGACACCACGTAGTTGTATGTATGTAGATGTAGAGTTCTTTTACCTACCACACGTACACATTTCAAATTATATTTAAAAAATAAGTATATAAATTTGTAGCTGTAGATGCGAATAACCTTTCACACATTTACACTACAAGCACTTAAATAAGTAAAAAAGTTTGGAAGCATCTGGAGAGTCTTCCAACCTAATGTAATGTCCATGACATCGGTCTAAAGGGTGGCTTAAAAATTACGAGCAAGCCTCTGGTGTTTTACTACATCATCCAAAGATCTTTAAACCAGAAAGTATACACACAGCGGTCTTCTACGGCAAACTTCAGACTAGCTTCGATGCAGCTAAACATAACTAAATATGGTGAGACTTTAGATTTGGGCCGCAAAATACTCTAACTGTAAATCGGCTCAGTGGCTGAATTGATTAAAGTTTACTACTTAGCGGCTGATCTGGAAATCGTTATTTATTATTACCTTTTCTGACAACTCGAGATTATCACTGAAGCTGTAGGAATTTATAAATCTGAAAGAAGCCACATTTATGGCGAGGATTGTGCGAGGTCGTAGAGGGGTGCCCTGAAAGCGGCCTATTCAACCGACTGCTTGTGAAGAGTTTCGCCCTCTTAGGATATGTGAGGGACGAGATGGGAAACTAGGCAATGAGTTGCGCGAAGTTGCTTAATCTTCTCATCGATGCTCATTTCTCGTAGTTCCAACAGAAACCTCCGATTTGGTTAAGCGTCGCCTTGGTATAGCAATCAACTCTTTGAATACCTTGAGTTCAGCGGGACCGGACGATATTACAGCTCCCCGGTTGCAAAATACGGATGACGGAGAGACTGGGTAGGGTGGCGTTTACACCTCAGGCCGGCAAGCTATCAAATTTCTTCGAAGAGTTTCAGGTGAATCAGTCTATTCTTTTTTCTTAAAGGTTTTGGTAGGCGTAAGTTGGTAGAGCAGCCCCCCTTTAAAAAAGAGTTCACTCTGGGTGCCTTTCCCGATGTCGAAGGCTTTACACAATGTCCTTCCGGGTGCAATCGGCAGGTCCTTATATGAGCTTGAGGCGGAAACCGACCTAATCATACCCCAGGCTCTGCGATAGATCTGCTGCGGTAGACTGCATCAGCGCTATTATCCACAGCAGGGTCGTGCGGTCGTAAGCGACATGTTAGATGAAATGAACGTCTACCGTATGATTTTCCTTAGGAATTAATATCCCTTATGCTAACGAATAACTCGAACTGTTCAATAAAATAAATACGGGTTAAGAAGATTACCGGAATGTTTTAGTCCTAATTGAATGGATGATATTGCAGTAGAACCAAGAAATCTCTAATAGGCAGCTACCCTAACCTAACTTAACCTGTGCCTCGGCTGTTTTCCCCAAGATGAATTAGGTTTGAATAGAAGGATGCAGGTTTTCTTCTAATTCACTCACAATTTTCAGACAGGGCATTCAATATTTGTGATTGTCATGTATCTATTAACTTCCAGTTGAACATCGGCTAGGGACCTACAGGCAGAAACTTGAGTTCAATTGTTTAATATGATCTCCTTCTAAAGGCATTCGGCGGATGCTAATTTAAGCTTGGAGTTGCTCTTCAGAAGAACTTTTACGACGGAATGGGCCAGCGCTAGCATCCAGTATAGGGATACGTCACAAAATTAGCATCCCTTACTTTGGATTGTGAACGACTTGGTAGATTTTCTGGAGAGGAGATGTTAGATACCGAATGATTGCCAGCATCTACATACAAAAGGCATCCGTGAAGACCGTGATGAATTCATTCAGCATTAAAATTACAATACAAATTTCCCAACAGAGTTAAAGTCATAAATCTAAGTATCTACACGCCCGGTTTAGTTGCATTTAAAAGTTGGTATTAAGTAGTTAAAAAATAAATGTCTATTTTGAAACTAATGCTGGACTTCCACTAGGCATTAAATGGCAACAATTTTAATGGCAAAGTTGGGCATTTAAAAACATTCGTGTCATAAAGTTAAAAAAATAGTCGCTAAGTTCCGCCATTTCAGCGCCAAGTGGAAATGCTGCATTACCCATACCACATTAATGTAAACTGAAAAAATTGTTAGACATTTCTAAATAACGAACGGATTGAACTTATGAATGTATGTATGTAAGTGCATGAAATATGACACCCTTTATGAATATGTTAGTCATATGTATGTAGCTAATAACTAGACTCCGACGCGTGTAATAATATACCCTTTAGTGATGTTAACTAAAAGAAAAAAAAACGAGTTACGTATTTGTTTTCATACCAAAGGTACTGGTAAACCTCTTTTTGCGTTCATTTTAAGCTTAGAGAGTTTTGCATATGTTTTGTTGTTTTTAATTTCAGTTGCGTTCACAACAGCATATTTTTCTTAATATTTTAGTTGAGCTTTAGATGTGCTTCGAATATACCTACTATAAAATTATGCCCAAACTCAGGCAAATTTCAGAAATATTTAGACCAGGTTTAAAAAAAAATTGCTGATTTTGGGTATTACTTTATTAACAAAAAAAAAAAAAAAAAAAAAATGTGTAAATGTACATACAACTGCTAATTGTAAATATCTAAATAAAGTGTATATGTGTTACATATACATACATAGTATGTAATATTTACTTGTCTTGTACAATAATTAGCAATTCCTTACATTTAATATATCAACTTGTAAATGTATGAATATTTTTGTGTAGTAAAAAGTCTAAATAGCCCTTTAAAATGAATGCTGCAGATTTTCCACTCCTACTAACACTTATTTTATCTTCTCTATTTACCTATTTGAAAAAAAAAAAAAAATTGCTTTATTCTTCAATGCGAGCAGGGTCACATTCGGGCAGCGCCAGCGCCAGCAACGCGTCAGCAACGTCGATACGTTCGACGCGTAGTAATTCGGTGGCACCCGGACTTGTAGCTAATAGTGGTCAATTGGAGAGGAAGGGCTCCCAATATCACAATCAGAACCAACACCAACACCAACTGCATCAGCATCAGCACCAACATCACCAGCAACAACAGCAACACCAACAACAAATGCCGCTAATCACCAACATCACTGCTAATCCAGCAGCTGAGAGTGTTGCGGTCGAGATAATAGCACCGGAAAAATGAATAAATATAAAAAAATAAAAAATAATACGATAAATAATAATTAAAAATAAACATACAAATATATCTACATACATACATGTGTATATACTATACATACATACAATATATGCATGAAAAAGTAAAAGAAGACAAATCAAAGTATGCAAGTCGAAATTGCATAAAAATTTAATGCGTAAAAAAAAATCATGGCTATAAAGTAATAAATATGAAAATGCACAACAAAACGAACAGTAATATTGATGAATGGTAAATAAAATTTATAAAAAAATGTGTGACAAAAACTGCATTAAAATATAGTTTAAAAGTATAAATATTTAATATATTTTAACAGCAAATAACGTCATATTTAAAAAAAAATACTAACGCAATTACACAAAATAACTGCTTGGATATAAACAAACAAAAAAACTTGCATAACAAATTCATATTTTTATTTCTTCTTCAAAAAAACCCCCAAAAAAAATCGCTAATAATTGCAGCTTTTAACACAAATTTAATAATAATATTTATAGTCATGAATTCAGTAAATATTTGTACGGTAATATGTATGCAAGAATCGTATTTAAAAATAAGTATGCACATACATATGTATATGCACAACAAAAAGTGTAAAATGATTAACCACAAAAATAAGAAAAATAGAAAAGACAACAATCTGTATTTTAAAATACTAACAAACCAAAAAATTTAACGTGCAATCGGTAGTTAAATAAAACGAAGTGTTTAGCTTTAAAGTCGAATTAAAAAAAAATATTACATTTATGAATATACATACAAATGTATTTGTATTAGTATATACATATAAAAACCTACTAATAGAAGATTCTACAAAAAGCAAACATAAAGTCATTTCGAAATATTAGAAACGCGTAAAAAATTGAAATGAGTCTTTCGCTGACATTCATCTTCCTATCCTAGTGATATTAAAATGTAACAAAAAAAAAAAAAAACACAATAACACGTGCACACTCTTGCAGAGCTATCGTTCACGCCAAATTTTCTATAAACAAAAAATTTAAAATTATACAAATTTTAAAATATACATACTATATACTAATTAATGCATGCATGTACCTTAAAATCCGAGGCGAAACGCAGTACAGAAAAAACTAATGTAGTGAATGAACAAAAGAAAAAAAATATATATATAATTACAATGAATAAATTCAAATATAACATAAGTTATCGAAATAGCAATGCAAAATGAGCAACTATACATAACAATAGAAAAAAACTATTACTTACAACACTACAAATTTAACAGTACATAAATAGAACAGTTTGAAAATAGAAATATTAGAAATAACTAGCGAATTTTTCGGAAAAAAAAATTTTACAAAACCAATAAAAAAGCTAGATGAATATTTATAGCTATTTATTTTAAAACACACGTCTTTTGCGCAAATAGGTTTTGATTTAACTTACATAGTACCGAAGAGATTCATACAAACATACATGTATGTATATGAAAAAAAAAATAAAATAAAAGAAAGCCTAAATAAAACTATGCATGCGCCGAATGTGCACTTTAAATACTTTTATTAACAAAAACTCTAAAACGCGTACAACATGAATACTTTTTAAATATTTAGGGACTATGAATAAGATGGTATTCAAAATTTCCGTGATTTCGTTACAACTCTTCATTTCAAAGCGAGCAAAAATTGTAGCATACATTTTCCAAAATTTGATAACGTAGAATATTTTCTCAAAAAAAAAAGTAAAGTGATTGCTGCATTAGAAATACATTCACATTTTCAAGTAGTTTACAATAAATACATATACATATGTAAGCATAGTATTGAGATTAGTATAAAAAAATACTTAAAAAAGTAATCAAATTGCGATTTGTGATTTCTACTTAGTCTCTTTAAAATTAAAAAAAAAATTGCAAATAAATAAACGCATTATTTTCATAATGTTGTGAAACTAACAAAGAAAATTAGTAACCAAAACAGCAAACAAATAGTTTACTTTATACCCGAATTCCCACGCATACCGCAATTTTTAATTCGATTATCTGATTTTTAACCAGTATAACTTTTTATACGGTATTAATACTCATAGCATACAACGACCGCCTAAACACGTTGATATTAGTTAAAGTTGTTTTTATTTGTTTTTGCATATTTTTAGAAATTCTTTCGAAATATTAAAAAATTCCTTTAACTTTCTAGTAAAAAATTGGGGAAGATTTTTTACTTGAACGTTAAAGTAGTATTTATGTATGAATTTTTACAAGTTCACTCATGTAATTTCTTGCTCAATTTAATGTAGTTGAAATGCAAACTGAAAGACAACAACTACCGAAGCTTGTGTGCTTTTACTTCGCGCATTCTTTTTTAAACCATAATAACTTATTAGATGTTATTAAGTTATATTTAAGTATATGCATACAAACATACATACGTGTGTATCAGAACATGTCTGCATGTGTTTGTATTTACAAAGCTTTACATAAAATATCACTAATCGAACTCGAATACGTCTATTAAAATTTTACATATTAAATACATACGTTTTTTTTCTAATTTTTAATAAATTTAAGAACAACACAAAATTTTCGTAAATACGCAACGAAATCTCAATAAACAAACTTCATTCTGATGGCTATGTAAGTATGTAGGAAGAAATAAGAGTGGATAAAAACAATTCGGATTTTGAAATTTGGGGAAGAGTTTCAAAATTGCTTTGTTTTGAACCGTGTTGGTGTATCAAAAAATATGCTTGGATGGCAGCCAATACACATTAAGATTGTTAGAAAAAAGCAGTAACACCACTATACATTTGTGCGATTGCCTAGACGTTTTAGAAGTAGTAAAAAAAAAAAAATGCAAATATGAAACGAAAAAACTTTTTCTGCTACAAAATAAATAACATATGATCTCTGTCAAAGCTGATATGTACACACGAAACAAGATTTATGAATAGTGATTGGAGAAATGAAATAAGCAAATGCAGATGCATGCATATAACACATTTATTAATTTCGTACACTGAACGGATATTACACGTGAAAAAATGCTTTATTTTCTTTATAGTATGTGCTTAACCGTGTGCATACGGCGATTGATTATTTATTAACACATAAACCTATATATATATTATATTCACATATAGTAACTAACTATATATTTGATATTAATGTAAACACACTCTACACTTTGTATAACAAAATAAGAAAAAGTAAAAAAAAAAATAAAATTAAAATCTATCCATTTTTAATCTTTATACGAAAGCGTCTAGAAAGTAATGATTGATACGAAAGTTTTCCATTATAAACAATGAAAAAAAAGATTAACAAAATAAAAAATACAAATCAGTAGCTATTCGTAGCATCATTTGGAAGGAATTCATTTACGATTCATACACAAAAATGCATACATACAAACATATTTATCTACGCTACATACATACATAAGTTCCCTCCACTCTTGTGGCGCCTTGCAGAAAGTGAACGAAATTATTTTCATATGAGTATATACTAATATATACACACATTTACATACACCAATTCATAAATCAATTTATATTTGCACACATAAAGTAACTACATATACACACAAAAACATATTTATTATATATACATACATACATATATGTATGTACATATATAAGCAGAAGTACTTAAACACGCTTATACATACAAACATGTATGCTTACACGCGGATCGCATGCTAATATACATACATACATATTTACGTACATACTTATATTAGAAAAAAAAACAAACTCCAGCTATGCGAATAAATATATGTATTTACAATTTTTTTAGACAACCGATACCGCATCACAATCTTAAACAATGCATTACAATCAATTTAATTTTAAATGAATAAAATATTTTATTGTTGTTCTGTTGAACATGAAACTACACTAATATAAACAGAAATATAATTGTATACACATACATATTTACATGCAAACAAACGCCACATTAATCCATACAGACATTACACAATATTTTATGGACAAATATGTAATAGCTGCAAAATAAATTAAATACTAAGAAGTACATGCAATGTAACAATTTCTGCAATTGCACAAGTTTTTGATTTTAGTTTTGATCATGAACTCATAAAAAATTCGGAAATAAACTAACTAAACCAAACACTGTAAACCACTTCAATACTTTGTTTTCATTTGTGATGTCTATATTAGTTGAAATTTGACTTGGTTTTTTTTTTAAATTTATTTAAAATTTCTACACTCCATAATACTCCCATGACAAGCCAGTAAACAAATAGCAAGTCGATCACTTTCTGAAAAATATGTATGTAATACTTAGCTGCATCAAAATCAAGAAGACAAAAACTACAAAAAAAAAAAAATAAAAATTAATAAATAGTTGGAACTTTAAACACTTTACATTTAAGCAATTTTATTAAAATATATTGCCATTACTGAGAAAAAATTTTCTTGTTTTTCCCTATTTTTCCAGAAGTCGTAAGTACGGTGACCCAAACATTGTGTCCAATAACGATTTTTTACAGTATTCGTAATTTTATATGTATGTGTATAATTTAATATGCATAAATAGGCAACAATAAAGCAGTAACTGAAATAGAGTCCGACCGATTCCAGATTTTTGGCCGATGTCGATTCTGTAAATAAAGTACTACCTGAATATAAGTTCAATCAAGAACAAATATTTTTCATCAACTTTTATATACCTAATAATTTAATAACATTACAAAACATATAAACATTCAAGAATCTATTCACTTATTTATGTATGTAAATATGTACCTATGTACATACATAACTATGTATTAAAAGTGGTATATCGTCTATGCATACATAGTATCATTGCAATACTTTGTTCCAGTCTTTTGTATTCAATGTTAAAAAATAATTCATTCGAAATCACATTTCTTAGTTGCACTCATAGTAGTAAAAATATACAGCTTCTGCTCACTATAAAGGTATTGTATTGAATACAGTTTGTTAATAAATATTTAGTAACCGTAGATTTTTAATGATAAAAGTATTTTTTTAACGTTAACAATTTAACAAGCCAGTGAAAAAAACCCGAAGGATTTAGGAATTCAGCGATTAATTATAGGCTAACGGTAACAATACTTACAGAAAAGACATTTTCGCATTCTTTGGCTATTTTCCTTTCGTTTATTTAATGTTTCTTATTTTTTTTTATGAAAGTGTAGCTCGTTTTCTAACAAAAACCATGTTAGTAAAAATTTCAAAATTTTTCTTTAAACATTCTGAGTATGCAGTTTTGTAGCCCATTCAATTTATTTTAATGAAGTGCAAATTTTAAGTAACTGGGACTTACTATTGGTTTTTGTACTTTTTTGTTTTGTGGCGGATTTTGTCCATACAAAAAAAAAAATCGAACATACTTTGTTTGGAAGAAAATGCGTGAACAAAAAATTGTCAAAAATCAACACTTACCTAACTACTTCAGACCTGCACTTTATTATACTAAAATTTAAAAAAACTGCGTACTCAAAAAATTCTAAAAAAAACGGATTAAACGGTTTCAAACTTTGATGAACATTTGTTAAAATTGCGAAAAAAATAAAAGGAATCGGCTATGAATCGGCCAAAAACGACCGATGCCGATTCTTTCGGCCGATACTAGCCGATGCTGATGCTGATTAAACGGTCGAACTCTAATTGCAATACTTTGTTCCATAGACTTTTCTTATTCAATGTAAAATAAATAGTTCATTTGGAACAAAAAAAATGTGTTTTCAATATAGTTTGTTAATAAACAGTTACCGTAGATTTTAAAATCACGATGAAAGACATACATACTTTGTATGGAAGAAAATGCGTGAGTAAAAAATTACCAAAAATCAACGATAAGTCCTACCTACTTTAAACTTTTACTTTATTATAATTAAATTTAAAACACTGCGTACTTAAAAAAATTCTGAAAAATCTGATTAAACAGTTTCAAATTTTGATGAACATTTGTTAAGATTCGTCGAAATTTTATACATGTTCTGAAATTTTGATTTAAAGGGTTTTGTTTAGATAGTAAGCTATATTTTCATAAAAAATAATGCAATTTTTTTAAACAAGGAAAAATAGCCAAAACTTGCTAAAATGTGGCTTCCCTATTTACATTCTCGCCGCCGTACGTCACATGAGAACAAAGATTCATTAATAGTTTAAAGTTTAAACTCAGATGCATTAATATTTTAAACTTTAAAGGCATTAAAAAAGTAAAAAATAATTAACATGGAGTGAAGTGCGGAAAAACTAGAAAGAATCGACCAAAAACGGCAGATGCCGATGCGATACTTACCGATGCGGATGTTGATCGGACTCTAAACTGAAAGCTTTTATTTCAGCTACACGTATTTATTTTCATTTTGCGGTATTTTAAAAAAGGAAACACCCATGTTTTTACATATATGAGCAGTCATTTATCTATATTCCGCTGTCTAAATAACGTACTTTACCTAAATATTGTATTCCGTTTTAGGAAAGTTTTGGAAGTACTGTAAGTATTGCAAGTTTTTAAATTCTGTTTTTTTACATAAAGCGAAAGGTTGCCGATTTTCGTTTAATTCTTGTAAGCACTACTCATAAATCAAGAACTGCCACTGAACTAATATACCTGGAACTGTTTTGAAATTGTTCTTACTGTCGTTGGTTATATAAACGGATATTTTTATGTAAAAACTCATCAATTGATGATAATTTGCAATTCCCGGAAATAAATATATCATAACCGTTTCCTTAATAAGTAAACGTCAAACAGGTTTGAAGTCTAGAGTGCTACCACATGTCCATACAAACAGCATCCACATGAAATGTGGAACAAAAAAAATTTTGCAGTGGAGCTCACTGCAGCACAATAAATTGCTTGAATGAAGAGCCAATATATAAATTGAAAGGGTGAATTATTACATAAAGGAGCTTATTTTAACTTTTGAATTCTCCGTTCAGCGCGAATAAAACTTATTTTTACAGTTTTCTTTTAAAACGTGTTTTCTCGGATGCCATCACTCATTTAATGCAAACTCTCCACACACAATTGGGTACACTGCATTGCCTTCTCACAGCTGTTCGTACCGGTGTAGAGTTAGCCGAACAGCTGTTTATACAAATTTGTTGTACAATTGTAAAGCGAACTTTTATTTATTTTACAAATTTGGTGTAAAAAAATGGATGAAAGCAGACTGAGTGGAGAGGAAGAAGTTCCACGGAGAGTAAGCACTTTTTTACCTTAGCTAGCAATTTAAATCAAACTATTTTATCTTGATTTGCAGCAGCTACACGTCTTTGGCCGTGACGTTTCGCAGATTCCCTGCTTTCGTAACAGCTTTCTATACGGGATTGGTGGAGGAGTAGCGATAGGCGTAGCGACATTCCTTGGCACGTCCCGCACTCGACTTTCGACGCATGTTGGTTTTGGCTGCTTTTTTACTGGCACACTTACCTATTGGCTGGTTTGCAGGTATGTATGGCTAAACTTTATTTAATACAGCTCATTGCGTGCAATTTATTCATTCCCATATCCCCTTGAAGGTATCAATGGTCAAAAAAGCGCTTTGAGTATCAACAATTACAGGAAGCTATGCGCAAGCAGAGTATATACGAGGGCACCGACCTTGAGCGACAAATATTGGAAGATGCCTAAGTTTTACGTTTAGCTATATTGGTCTTGACTCTAGAAAGCTATGCTGGGCTATCGCTGAATACATCGTAGTCCGATTTTCGCGAAATATACAAAAATGCGATCACAGTCCGAAATCCTACGAACGTAGCATTCAAATTATTTGCTACGTTCGTAGTACTCGCGTTCAGTGATAACATTTTCGTAGATTTCATGAAAAATCGGACTACGATGGATCCAGTGATTGCCCTGACTATGTGCAAATATGTATACGTACATTCATATACATACATATAATATTTAAGAAAATTGTTGTTTATTGTTCGTGCCTACACTGTACATACGGCTTGTGATTAAGCCCCATTAAAAATTTAGTTTTAAAACAGAAATCTTTTAAATGTACTACACAGATGCCTACCATAAACTCGGACAGAATAGGTGCGAAGAATATTGGGTTTGAAAATGCTGAACATTTTAGACAATCATGTATTATACTAACATACTTGAAATCTGCTAAAACGTAATCCATGTTAAGTACGATCGTCAGAAAATACCTTATAATTAATCGGCCTTATCGCGAATTTCGTGTTAACAAATATTCTTAAAAATTTCCCAATTTGTATTTTGCCTGTTAAATGATGGGTGCGATTTATTCACATGCAGTTGGCTATAAGGCTGATTGTTTAATGGAGGAAATCTATTTTGTATGAAATTTAACGTGTTAGGAAATACTTCGCGAGTGGGATGGCTGAAAAAATCTTTGTCAGAATATTTTTACAAGCTTTTACTTAACTTGCTTGAAACTTCACAGTTGGCTCAGAACCCCATTACAATGCACTACGAAAGAAGAATCAATGCGATAGATGGCGCAGGAGTCGAGATGTTTGAAAATGAAGAAATTAACTATGTACCAATCGAAAGTATTAAGCTTATAGAATGTGAAAACGTTGGGTTGTCTATTTCTTCCTGACTTACCTATATACCTATATAATAGTAGTAATTTTCACTCATCTGTTTGACACATTCTATAGGCTTTATGCTATCGATTAGTATATCTCTAGCTTAGAGTGAAAAGTTGTCAAGTCCCATTTTAAATATTTTGCAGGAGAGGAAAACAGTTTTTATAGCCATTGTCTTCAAGTATTTCGCCAAGCTTTGAATAAACCTTTTTCAGTTTTAAAGCAAACCAAAACTCCATAAAAATTAGAGGGATTCGAGCTTTATTAAAAAATTTCGTTCTACTTTGGCTTAATTAACTTTCGCTGCTACTTTTTGACTTATAAAATTTTCCTTTCATTGTGTACAAAATGAGAATAAATGAAACAAAAGAACTTGTATCCTTAACAAAACAATGTATTTTTAATTTCTCTTGCTTACTATATCAAAATATGAGCTTTCATAAAAAGTGGACTTGGCTCATTTCACTCCAAGCTAGCGATATACATATGTAATTTGTTCATTAAACAAATGAGTGCAAAATTGAAAAAAAAAATTATTTTTGAATATTTAATTAAAAATATCCTGGCCAGTATTTTTTAGCCAACCCTTTTGCGGCAAAAAATTGGCACTAAATCGATGGACACGATGTAAATTCCTTTATTCTAAAAAAAAAAAAAAGAATTTACATCGTGTCCATCGATTACTGCCAAATTTTTGCCTTTTGCGTTCCCACGATGGTCGGGTCTACGTAACCAGAACGACCCAGATTTATATTTGGCCAAGGACTGTCACTCCAGCAACACTACCCAAAAACTCTTTGGGGAACCTGTATGCTACAACAACAACAACGAACGACAACAACAACACAATGTAAATAACGTGTTTCTAGCAGTTTCAGTTTGAAATATTTACGTAGGATATCAGTCAATTTATTTACACTCTTGGAAGCGAATACTGAGTCTTCCTATAGCGCCTTGCTAAAAAATCTTCTTTATGGTATATTCTTCATTAACGGAATGACAAGCACTGGTAGATTGCATACCAAAAGAATATATCGAAGGCGCAATTTGACAAATTTGAAATTTTACAAGTGAATAAAAAACTAACATGGAAAATGCAAGCAGAGCTATTAAAGGATGCTAATAAACCTTGTATTTTTTAAGATATGTCAGATTTCAATAATTTTCAACGTTTTGCTTTTATGTGCCAAGCACAATAACCATACCGAGTTTGGTACAAATTGGTATAACGCCTACCGAGATACATATATGTGATCATAAGTGGGCGGTGCCACGCCCACTTTCCCAAAAATTTATAATATTCTTATTTTTCGTCTGAAAATTATTGTAAATATCAAGTTTGAGTGCATAATCTCCAGTAGTTACTAAAATATCGCAGTTTTCGTATTTCTGGAAACTACCGTTATGTGGGAAGTGGGCGTGGTTACAGTCCGATTTCGCCCATTTTCAATACCAACCTACCTTGGATAAATCTAAGCCTACATACCAAATTTCGTTGAGATAACTAAATTTTTGCTCGAGTTATCGCGTACACGGACGGACAGACGGACGGACAGACTGACAGACGGACGGACAGACAGACATGGCTTAATCGACTTCTCTATTCATTCTGAGCATTTATGTATAAATTTGTCTATATCTATCTCGATTCATTTTGGCTGTTACAAACAACCGTATGGTTGAACTGGTAGGGCTTTTTTAAAAATTGGCTCTAACTCCGTTGTTTTTGGTACTAACACCTTAAAATTGTTATTTAATGTGTATTTTAATGCATCCTACCAAAATGGTTTGTTAGGGCCTTTGTGAATGAAGGTAACTATAAACTCCTATAGTAAAAATGAATACATATTCTGCCTTATGCTGAGTTTCGCCTAAAAATAAAATCACCCGAAAATTTGTCATCCGTCCATGGAAACCTAGGCTGCATCAGCCTTATCATGAGTTTAATTTTCCCCGAACCGGATCATTTTTCTTTTTTCATTTCCGTGTATTCATTATGGACGAATGAAAGGTTTTCGTGTGAATTTGTTTTCGGGCGAAAATCAGGCTAAGGCTGATTTTGTTCTACTGAGCTACTAGTAATTGATGCAGCTATGAAATTTTTAAACAACATAGAGAAAGTGGTAGCGGTAATTTCTGCATACTTGACTCAATCTTTCAATTTTTTTGGATTATAACACTATCGAAGTAAATGACAAAAACTGCGATATGTATGTACATATATCCACAATTAATTATTTTTATTAGCTAAGTATATCGTCGTTCAAAGTACAAAACCGCGTAACTGACATTTGCTGCCATTAATTGGATTTAGCCACACAAGCTCTTGGTTCGTCCTGAAATATACTAGCCAGAAATGCGATTGGTTCATAAAAAAGACAACCATTTTGAAATATGAGTGTTTTTAGTCTCTAGAAAAAAATTTATGCAACCTCACATACGCGGTTTTGCATTATCTTGATACGCGGTTTTGTACTTTAAACGACGATATGTATGTATAACATTTTCCAACCCCTTAAATTTTAAATACTGCAAAGCACTTTTCTTGTACAAAAATTATTATTGACTGTACACTGTACACTGTTCCCTGCTTTAATACTTTAATATGTAAATGTTATGATATTGTTATTAATACCACGGCGACGGTTTTGCTACCGGTTTCTCCTGCATTTCAATTTAAATATGAAAAAATAAGTGCAATTTCTGAATTTAATTAGAAAATTTCAAAGTTTTCCAATTTCAGAGAGCTGTTGCCACCAACTGTTGCGCCAACTGTTTAAGTTTCGGCATAGCAAGTGGTTGCTTATCAGCAGGTCATCGACGTGTCGCTCTTGTATTGATATTTATGCAAATGAGAATTGGAGTTTTCATTTTACTAAATATCAACTGTTGAATTTGCGATTTGAATGAACTGAGCAATTGCACATTGGTAAGAGTTTCTAACAATAGTTGCGTTCCAGATGCTTCACGATTTGCAGGTTTCATGGAAGGTGGTTACCTGGGACGGCTTCCTGTAAAAACCTGCAAATCGTGAAGCATCTGGAACGCAACTAATGTGAGTGCATAAAGTTGTTGAGATGTAGAAAACGCCATTGTTTTTCTTGAGGGGTTATTTATATTTTTTAACAATCTTTTTTATCTCATACTTACATACTACTAAAACAAATAAAAATGAAAAAAAAAACGTTTTGTTATTGTTATTTAATGTCCAAAAGTAGTTAGTTACAAGTTAGTTGACATATAATGCCGAGAAATCCAGGTCTAAGTTTTTTGCAGACAACGCCCCACAAAAGTAGTTGGCTTTTTTGTAACAAAATATGTAAATAGTTAATAGTTAGCATTAATAATAATAATAATAAATAGATTGGCGCTTACACATATGTTAGTGTTTGGCCGAGCTTCTCTTGTATTTAATGTTCGGCTCCGCCCGAACTTAGACTTTCTTACTTGTTTTTTACTCATTGACAGTTTCAATGCCTCTGCTGAATGCATTTCTAGTAGCTGTATGGGAATGCTTTTAGTTTTGAATCACATTGATTGATGATGATGATTAAAAATAAGTTTATTTCAAATTCATTTGCAATGGAATTTGTGTGTTGATCCCGCGAAAGAAAAGTTTTCTTCCCTGATTTTCTTTCCTAAAATTTTCAGAATAACATTTACTTTAATTAAACATTGCTTAAACTGTACTGTCTTCTCTAGAGGTTCTTTCCAATATAGTTACGTCTAGTTTGATAGTAATAAAATGCATAACAGTACTTTAAACGAATTTTCTTTTACGCAAGTTCTTGCTTCGCCTAGCAAGGATACACTTTAAAATCCTGTTTGTACGAGTAGGCAAAAAACCATTCGTAGGTAAGTTACTAGTTTAGGGTGTAAAAAGCTAAGAAACGCCAACAGATGGCAAAAGTTTAACAGCTTAAGTAAGTGCCTTTTAAAAAGATTTACTGTTATGTACACACAAGCAAAAGTAAAGAAATACCCTGCAGTAAAAAATTATCAATTGATTAAAAACAAACCTCTTGTTGTTAGCTTTTTTGTGGGATTTGGATAAAATATATAACTTTTAGTTAAACGATAATTTGAAGCTTTATTTAAATATCCTCATACAAATTTTACTTTGAATATCCAGGACAACTTAAATGAAGTTTGAAGTTTTAAAAAGGGGCAGCCTACTGCAGAAGTAAAAAAAATTTATTGTTTTTCGTATTGATATTTTATGTCCTAAAGTAGTTGGTTACAAGTTAGTTGACATCTAATGTAGAGGTAACCATACCCTTGAATATAATAGTAACCCTTCCCAAGCAACTTCAAGTTAACTTATGGTTAGGCTGTGTGTCAATTGGTAACTTTTTTCTCAGTGGTCAGACGGGGTGGCAACGTTTTCTATGCTGTACAAATGCAAAGTAAAATTTTGACA